GGGGCTGCGCTGCGACTCCGGACTCGGCGCGGCGCCGAAGAGCGCCCAGCATCGGGCCCGGACGGCTCGGCCAGGCTGGAGCGCCACGCGCGACCCGCGCCGCGCTGCCAGAGGCGGGGAGAGGCCGGCAGGACGAGGCTCGCTTACCCGGCCGCGCTCCCGGTGCTGTGCTGCGCTCGGCAAAGCTCCGCCGGTCTGGGCGGCCGCTGCCTGGGACGCTGGGCCGGGGCGCTGCCGGGCAGGAAGGGGGCGGCTCCGGCCAGCCCTGCAGTCCGTGGGCGCCCAGCTGGGCTTGGCTCGGCTCGGCCGGGCAGGCCGACGCCGGCGGGAGGGAGGGCCGGAGCCGGCCCCGCCCAGGGAGGGGCTGCGCGTCGGGAAGCCGCCGTCCCCCCCTCGGGAGCCCCCGCCGGCTCGTGGTCCTGCGGGGTCATCCCTCTTCTTCCTCGCCCGGCAAGTGCAGCCCCAGCGCCCGGCCAGCTGCGTGGCGGAAGCGCCGTCGCGACGGCTCAGAGCGCCCTGGCGCTCTGCGCACGCTCTGAGGCACCAGTGTCGTGTGGTCTTGGCATGTGCTGGCCGGGGAAAGGAGGTCGCTCCCGCCAGGCCGTAGCCCGGAAGCGTGCCGTGCAGAGCGGAGCGAGAGGGGCGGGCGGGTTCAAGGAGGCGGTCAGGATGCCCCCTCCCGCTCCGCAGAGACCGCGCGCGCTCCTGCGCTGCCTCCCGAGGCACAGTGAAGGGCGGGATGCGAAGCCTTTGGGTCGGTCGATAGACGATCCGGCACAGGTTCTTCCCCAGCTGCCTCCCAGGAACCACGTCTGAACCCACGCAGCACTGAGGTGGCCCGCGTGGAGCCCCCCCCCCCCGGCTGTGCCCGCTGCTCCTGCGGGAGGCTGCAGCAGCCGACAGGTGCCCCAGCGGGCAGCTCAGGGCTCGTGTGAACACGCGCTCTCCGGCTTACCTCCAGGCTCCAGTGGCACTTCGGAAGAGAGCGCAGGCATGGGCTGGCAACCCGCGGAGCACGGACAACCCGCCAGACTCGGCAGGGCCTGGCCAGCGGGGAGCCCTTTTCCAAGCGGGCTCACCCTGCCCTGCAACCCGGGAAGGGCTTCGCTCTCTGGCACCTTCTCCCCGCAGAGTGGTGCCACACACACCCCGCTGCCAGCCAAGGTACACAGGCCATGGGGATGCTCGCTCAGAGGAGCCACATGGGTCCCCGGCACCTCAGGTGCGACAGGCAGCCGTGCTGCGAAGGCTCCCAGTCCCTTGAGGGCTGGAGGCTCTTGGCACAGAAATAGAAGGGGCAGCAGCCCCTCCCCAGCACCCCCCCCACAGGAAGAACACCCCTTCCCCAGAGCAGCGCTCTGAATGGCACCATGTGGCGCTCGGCAGAGATCTCACGGCTCCAGAAGGAAAGCAGGGCGGCCACCCCTCCCTTCGCCACTCTGTGCCCCCAGATGTCTCCTCCTTACCATAACTGGCCGCTGGGGACCAGGAGACCCCAAACGCCCTCGCAAAGCACTCGCACATCCTTCCGCCCTGGTGGTGCCCACGCCTCTACCCAGGTAGCGCTCGGGGCTGTGTGGCCTGGGGCCTGCAGCACTGCCAGTGGCCGCGAAAGGCCCCCACACACCCGGGCGTGAAGAGGAGCCCGCCAGCGGGATTAGCACAAAGCCACCATCAGCAGTTTGGGCAGCCTCTGAAAAGCTGCCTCCATTGTTGTGCTCCGGGGCAGGCTGGGCCGGGCCGAGCGACACAAAGGGACCCCACATTTCATTTCCCTGCGCAGGCAGCTTTGGCTGCCATCTGCCCTGGGGCCTGTGTGTGTGTTTTGGGGGAGGGCGTGGAGGGAGGGGCCAGCCTGAGGCGGCCCCCCCACTCAGACTGGGCTGTGCGGCTTCCAATCTGGGGGTCCGTGCATGAAGGAGCAACCTGAGGCACAGGAGCTGGAGCCAGGTGGCTTTTCCCGGAGGAAGAGGGGGCAAGGCCTTCAGGCTCCCCGTGTTTCAATACGTCTCCAAGTCAGCAACCTCCCCATGATCTGGCTGGAACCTTGCAAATGGCAGATCCCGCACAGAGCAGGCCCCAGTCTTCCCCTGCTCTGAGTCTTGGAAGCTGCCCAGAGAGCTCCAGCTCCCGGGCAAAGAGAAAAGCGGCAAAATGCAGCCCCTGGAGAGGCCCAGCGAGCTCCTGGGCCTGGGGGGATGGCTGGGCACTTGCCACAGCAGCACACCCTCCTGTCAGGCTTGGAGAGCCCAGCCGCTGGAAGAAGGGGGAGGGAGGAGCTGCTCCAGCGGGGAGGAGAGCCCCTTTTGCCCAAGGGCCCAAGAGGGAGGTCGAGGCGCCCGCGGGGCCACCTGGGCCTGGAGGGAGGAGTGAGCCAGTGCCAAAGATGGAGCGCGGAGCCAGAGCTACCCAAGTGCTGCCGGGACGAGCTCCCTCCCTCCCCCCCTCCCTCCCCCCCTCCCATGGCAGCCGGTCAAGCGCCAGGAAGACCCAGAGCAAACACCGGACATCCTCATCAAGAAGGGGCTTCCTTGGAGGGGGGAGCGGCAGGGCCCACTCCTGCTGCAGAGGAGGGAGTGGGGAAGCAGGCAGGAAGCGGCGGTGGCCAGGCTCCGCAGGGCCTCTCCCCACTGACCCCGGGGGGACGTCACGGGGTCGCTGGGACCAGCGCAAATGCACTTCGCCCCACCTTGTTCCTGCCCCCTGGGAGCACGGCGGGGCCTCCCTCCCTGCTTCCTCCAGCAATGCATCTCCAGAGGGGGAGAAGCCAAGGCACCCGCCTGGGGTGATCCACTCCAGGTTCCAACTGGATGGCGCAAATGAAAGCAGAGGTGCCGCAACTCACTCTCCACCCACTTCCCACGCCAGGGAACTCACCCATCAACTCTGGTGACCACCGGGGGACCCTTGGCTCTGCCTGCTGTACCCCCCCCCCACCTCCAAGAGAGCCGGTCTGGCAGTTTTTACATCCCGAAAGTTGTTTAAAGGTGTACTAGGAAAACTTGAGTCCTCGATTAAATCAAGCCAGAATTTTCTGAAGAAGCAGAAATGACAATACTGATGCTGCCTTAGTTGAGGCACATGAAAAAGCAAGGCACCCTGGAGAAGACGGTTGTGCCAGACAGGAAGGTCAAGGGCAGGAGAAGAGGAAGGCCAACTGAGATCGCTTCATTCTATTCCACAAAGGAAACCCCAGCCCCGAGTCTGCAAGAGCCGAGCAAGGCTGTCGAGGGCAGCGATGCTGGAGTCCCGGGGTGCCAGAGGTAAGGCAGAGGTGGCCGTCCCTTTGGCAGGATCAAGCACCCGCAAGGGAGCCAGCATGAGAGGCACTGGGGAGGGAGTTGAGTCTTGGAGAACGTCAGCGCTGCCTCTCATTTCAGGTCTGAGCTCCGGATCAGATCAGCAAAGGGGCAGCGCTCCCCGCCCCTCACCATCCTCGCTCTGCCCTCATGTTCAGTCCCCTCCTTAAAATGCACTGGCCGGAACTGGGCAGCCCCCCCCCCCCCAATCCAGAAGGGTAGCTGAGCCAACTTGTCACAGCAAGAGGGTCTGGCAGCAGGCCAAAGCCTGGCGCATCTGTTATGGAAGGGCCTTTGCAGAAAGCGCGGAGTGCAGTCCGGAGATGTCCGTGCATGGAGGGCGGCTGGCCGTAATAGTGAGGCCAGATGGAAATCGAATGCACAGCAACGGGCATGAACGAACCATGTGGCGCTTGGGGAGGGGGGTGCCCAAGGGGACGGCTGGGCCTGGGCCACATCGCTCGGAAGCTCACCCAGCAGCACAGAACCGAGCGCAAGCAGAGCGGCCTGGCTGGTGAAGGGGCTGCCCACCAAGAGCTGTGCGCACACTGCCCAGAGTCCGCTCGGGTCAGTGCTGGCTGGCCGGCAAGACAATTCCTGAGTTTGCTGACGAGGGGGTCTCTCCAAGCCCCCCCACTCAACATCTCACTAGCTAAGAAGCAGGGCTTTGAAACTCATGGGCTGGGGGTTTGCCGCAGTTTGATGTTCACCTGTGAACTGAGTGGAATTCACCCCCCTCCCTTCAAGGACTCCATGATTGTAAAACTGTTCCGAGGGGGCCGTGTTTCCGTGATACCTTCCGCTACTTGACGCAGCTCTGCCCGCGGCCCCAGAGAAAGTGGCAGCGGACCGCCAGGCGGGGAGCGGCCAGTGCCGCCCGGGGGCGCCCTCTGCTGGCCCTTCCAGAGACCCGTTTGGGTGCCTTGGCTCGAAGCCTTCCCTGGCCGCCCGGCGCAGCCCCGCCAGAGGGTCTCCCCTCCGCTCTCGGCCCAGCCCAGAGAGAGGCCCCCGGAGGGCTGTGCGTGGCGCCACCCCGGGCCCCAAACTGCCCTCGGGCCCTCCAGTGCCCAGAGCGGGGCCCTTGGCAGGCCCTCCGCAGGGAAGGCACCTTGCGCAGCGTGACTGGAGAGCGGCCTGGCTGCTGGCCCAGCCCCGAAGTGCCACCGGCGCCCCCACCCCTTGCAAACCTGGGAGAAAAGCGAGGCCGGGCAGCCCCCTGTGTGCTGCAGATGCTGGTGGCCACCCGTAGTGGGGCTTCCACAGGCCGCTTGCCTCTGCCCCCCGGCTGGGTGTTGATGAGCCGCCACAGAGCGAGAGCGAGAGCAGCAGCTCGGGCGGCTCTAACAGGGAGTCAGAGTGGCCCGTCTTTGGGCCGCTCATGGAGCCTCCCCCTTCGGAAGCAGCCTGCTCGCCGTAGGCAGGGGCCAGCCAGCCGAGGGACAAAGAGTGCCAAGATGGGTTCCCCTCATTGAACCCAGACCAGCGTTCATTAATTAATTGATTTATTAGATTTATAGCCCTCCGTTTTCCTTTCAAGGAGCTCAAGGTGACTTACAAAGTCATTTTCCTCCTCCTCTCAATCTTACCCTCACAACAACCCTGTGAGGTAGGTTGGGCTGAGGGTCTGTGACTGAGCCAAAGTCCCCAGTGGGCTCCATGGCCAAACAGGGAGAGAACCTGGAGCTCCCAGAGCATCCCCCCCCCCCCCCGGCACTTGCACAAGCACACCTGCCCCTCCTTCCTTGCCTCCGCCGGGCTGCAGAGGACACAGGCCTGCTGCGCTGTGGGGAAGGCCGGGAGGCGGGGTGGACGCTCGCCCGAAGAAGACGCTTTGCAGTGACTGACACTCGGGTGAGGCTTCGGAGAAACGAGCAAAGAAACTCAACACAGACACATCCATTGACCATGCAGGGGAAGCCTCCAGCTGGAAGAGACTCTTTGTCCCGGAAGAGCCTTTCCCCTACAAAGCCATCGCCTGGTTCTGCCCTCTCAGGTCACCCATTTAGCCCGGCATCCCCCACATCCTGTTTCGTAGCAGGGACACGAAGGTGGCCACTGTCCTGTCCCACGGGATCGCCTCCCCAAGAAAGCTGGGAAATCCCCTTCCAAGAGGACAGACGGACTGCTAAGGGCACAGGAAAAGCCCTGCTGGATCAGAGCGAGGGTCCGCCTAGCCCAGCGCTCCGTATACATGGGGGCAAACCAGCTGCCCACAGGATCCTGCCAGCAGGATGGGGCAAGCCTTCCGCCTGCCCAGCTCCTCGGCGACCGGTGCAGGCAGGCAGGCAGGCAGGCAGGCCGGCCAGCCGCCTCTGGCCAAGGGCGACACACCCGTGAGAGAGGCAGCGGCTGCTCCATTGCGGGCAGCGCCGAGTGTGGCGCCACCAGCCTCCGTCTGCACATTCCCCGTCCATGGGAGGGGCACCCTGCCAGGGGTGCATGTGCTTGTCCCACCCAAGATTAGCCCCATCGACTCTCCGGCAGCCCCCCCGCCCCGTCACAGCTCCTGCGCCTCCATCAGTGTGTCCACCAGATGATCCAGTTCAGCCACCACTGGAAGCTCTGCCTCCAGGCTGGAGAAGACCTCCTTGAGGTTGGGAAGGGCGGTGGGTGACCACAGGTCACAGTTGTACATAGAGGCGTCGATGTCCTCGAAGGCGTCTTCCTCCAGCAGGAAGCATCCCGGGCCCAAGAGATCCAGGGGCTCGGAGGGGCATGCAGGGGGAGTCCGCTCAGGCTCTGGGCTGAGCATGCAGTCCTGGCCCCCCGCAGGCTGGGGAACGGAGGGATGCACGGGGCCCCCAAAGCCCTCCAGGCCACCCAAGTCCTCCAAAATGGTGGAGAAGACCGAGGCATCCATGTCAGAGAGCAAGAGCTGGTCCAGTTCGGCACTGAGGGGCGGTACCGGCAGCCTCCTGCAGGCATCCTGGAGGGTGCAGGCCAGGGGGTCCGGCGCCTGGGGCCCAGCGGCCGACCCGCCATCAGCCGGAGCGCCGTCCCAGCCCAGGGCAGGCTGGGGCACGGGGGCTGTGCCCAGCTGCATCTCGTCCTGCAGGCGTCGGAGCGTGTTGGTCACCAGCACCAGGTGCCGGAGGTTGGGATCGACACGCTGAAGACTCTGGTGCAGCTTGGAGACAGAGAGGCTGAGGAGAGAGCTGGAGGGTGCGGCCAGGGAGGGATCACCGTCATCCTCGCTTCGCTTCCGCTTCATGCCTTTGGCCAGCATCCTTCTGAGAGGAGAGGAGAGGAGAGGAGAGGAGAGGAGGAGAAACAGGGAGTCAGCTAGTTCCTGAGGCACAGCAAGGAAGTGGGCCAGCACAGGGCCCCTCCAGAAAACAAAAGCAGGATATGTGCAGGAAGCGGCGGGGAGGCCGGGCTGCAAAGGAAGAGCACAGGCTGGCAGCACCGAGCTGGGGGGAGGGCGTCCAGAAGCTGAAGGTGAGGATGGGCTGAGGTTAGCGCGAGATGCTCACAAGCAACAAGGCTGCCTCCCTCAGACACGCGCATAGCGGAAGAGAGGGCAGAAAGGGTGGTCTAGGTACGCAGCAAGGATGGAGAAAGGACAGCAGATGGTAAGGCAAGGTAGACGGGCCCATCCCTGCTTCAGCTCAGTCTTTCCCTGAGGGTTGGACCCTATGACCTCCCTGGCCAAGGGGAAGCCCAAGCTGAAGGGGCAGGACGGCAGACCAAGACTGGCAGGCAAATGGCTGAGGGGCGCCCGTTGCCCGGCACAAGCCTGAATCTCCAGGGTCCAGCGCACTGCATCCCAGCGCAATAATGGAGCTGGCAGAGGAGCGCTCAGTCCCACTGCCTGTTATCTTTGCGGATCGGGGGGAGGGGGGTGAGAAGCAACAGGTGAGCAGAGGAGGGCCAGCATCCCTGTCTTCAAATGGGAGGGCCCGGGGAACTACAGGCCACAGTCTGACCTCAGTCCCTGGAAAATTTGCAAGCAGTCTGCAAACACCATGAAGCAGTGCAGTGATGTCTAGAGCCCAACACTGGTTGCCAAGAATAGATCCTGCCAGAGTAATCGGGCCTCAGTTTTTGACTGGGCCACCACCCAGGTAGCCTGTGGGAATGGGGCGGACTTCAGCAGAGCGTGTGACAAAGTGCCCCATGATGCAAGCTAGCTCAGGGTGGGCTGGAGGGAGCCAGGATCGGGTGGGTCCACAGTTGGCTCCAGAGCTGGACTCCAAAGGTAGTCAAAGCTCCCACCAGCCCAGGTGCAGGACGCAGACTAGCGGGCTCAAGCTCCGGGAAGGCCGAGCAGTGAAACTTCTTGGCTGCTGGAGCGGCAGGGCAATGGATCCCGTGACCCGGGCAGGCGGTGGCTTCTGCCACGCTGCAGGCAGTGACGGGGCAGCTGCACCCCCTCTGTGAGGGGCGCTTTAACCGAGCGACTGGCCTCCTGGGCCACCGCCACCTCTGCTTTGCGCGGATCGCCGCCGCCTTGTCTTCCTGGGCAAAGCCAGCTCGCCCAAGGCCAGTTTCGACGGAGAGGCGCTGCCCTGCACCGTCTGTCAGGGGACCTGGGCGGCCGGGGCGCCTTCTGGCCAGAGACTCGGCTCCTCCCGCCCCGAAGGGCGACCCCGGACCCGGAGCAGCTGGGGAGGAAGGAAGAGGACGCAGCGCTTGCTCGCCTCGGCCGGGCCGCCGGGGTCTCCCGGCCCGAGGGGCTCGGAGGGGGCGAGAGGACGGGCCCACCGCGCCCGGGCCGCGCATCTCTCTCTCTCGCGCGCGCGCGCGCTCCCCGAGCCGGTTCGCGAGCCGCCCCCGCCTCCTCTGCAGGCAGCGCGCTCGCCTGCGCCCCCTTCCTCCCTCGGCTGGCAGGCAGGCAGGCAGGCGCGGAAGCGGATGGTGACTCACGCCGCCGCCGCCGCCGCCGCCCCGCCTGCCCGGGCGGACGAAGCCAGCCGCGGGCCGGCGGCCTCGAGGGAGCCCCGCCGCCAGCGACCCCGCGCGGAGCCCTCCCGACTCCGGGCCCCCGAGAGCCCCCTTATTTACATACCCAGCGCGACAGAGGCCAATCAGTGGGGCTGTGGAACGCTACGCGCAGCCAATCAGACGCGAGCATCCGGCCATCCGCTCTGCCGGATAGACTCTCCCCGCGTCTGCCGGCGGAAGGCCGCTTCGTGGTCTTGCGTGGGCGAGAAGGGGGGCCGCCGGCCAATGGGCGCCTCGCACGCGAGCCTCATCTGCATGGCGTGGGCGGTGGAGCGCCGTCGCGCCGCCTCTGTGGAGGAGGAGCGCGAGCGGAGCGGAGCGCCCGCCCTCCTCGCGCGTGATTGGCCGAGGCCGGCCGGCTCGGCGGGCGGGAGACCTTTCAGTCACGTGGCAGAAGAACCGCCCCCTCCCCCCCCGTCAGCTGAAGCGCGAACGATCCGCCGGGAAGGGGTCGAGCCGGTCGCCCGGCGCCTCGGCCGCACACGCGGAAGGCCCCGGAGAGGACTCTGCGCATTCCCGGGGCTTGGCGGCCGTTCCTGCCAGGCAGCCTCTGGGCCAGGGCTGGAGCTGCGAGTGTATTCATGGGCCGAAGCGTCGCCTGCCGCTGGTTTTCGATTTTCCTGCCGCATTTCTTTAAAGTTTAAAAAAAAGTCAAGCTGACCGAAAGCAGCTACAAATACATGACTTATAAACGCAATACAAACGTGGATTAAAAGCAGCACATTTGAAATTACATAGCCTCTCCTCTGAGGTTGCCAGATAGTGTCTCATTTTGATAATTTCGCCTAATCAAAGCTCACCGTAACTCTCGGGAGTTTAAGGAGCGGGCATTTTCTGCTCTGCTCTGCTCCGGGCAGGAAGGGAAGTTGGCCACCCCAAGCAGGATCGCTCATTCAACTCCAGGGCGATGCTCGTGACTGAAGGGAAATTCAGCTTGCAGCCAGAAATGACACTGAAACAGGCGCTCACCTGTGCAGCACCCAGCGATCTGCCCTCCGCACCTCTCAGGTGACTGCCGACAGGCCTCTTGTCCACAGAAGCCATTACCACTGAGACACGGGGTGGCAAAATTAAGAGGTGCTCTGCACATGCTCAGAGGCACTGCTCTTGCACCTACTGCGGAGTTGGGCTGTTAGAGTAGACCTAGCAGAGCCCGAAAGCCTTGTCTGGGTCTGTTGCCAATTCAGCTCCTGTGCAGCACTGGCACAGAAGTGGCCAGGCGCTTGCAGCGCCCCCCCCCCACACCCCCCAAGCAAATGTCCAAAGACAGCAGGCCTAACCTCTTCTCCAAAGAGGAAGGATTCATTATTGCAGCTGCCTCAGCTTAGCTGAGAGAAGCACAGCAAAAGCAGCAGGGCGGCAGGCGGCCATTCCTGGGAACCCCCCCCCCCCAATGGCATATGCCCTTCCAGGGGCCCAGGACAGGCAGGACTGGTGGGCGCGCACACACAGATCCCTGGATGCACAGAAACTGGACAGGCGAGTTTTAATTAGATATATTCAAATTCCAAGAAGAGCCTTTACAAAATCATCCTCTATGAAAACAATTTCCAGCAATATGAATCAGACTTCTCTAGCTCCCAGCCTACCCGGGGAGTTTGCACACAGGTACGCCGACAACAGAGGTGAGGCTCCGGGGAACCTCCGCAGAGCCTGCGGGCAGCCTGGCCACAGTCCGTGCGTGCAGGCGTCTCTCCGGGGCGATGGCGCCAGGGGCACATGGAGCGTATTGCTGGTGAGGAACTCTGTCCTGAAGATCCCGGCCCCTTGTCCTTCTGCTGCAAGATTTCAGACCCAACCCTGCTTGGAATGAAATGGGCCACTGACTGCATTGGCAGGACATTATGGCGGCTGTCGAAGGCCCAGGACCCGGTTCTTGAGAAGCTCGGGACCAGAGCGAGACACACATTCGGCAGCGGCGCCCGTACATCTTCTCATGAGAGGGCAAGGTAGGCGGGCGGCTGGAAGACCACAGGAGAAATTGGCCAGCTATTCCTCGGGCAGGAGCAAGTGTTGAGGCAGCCCCAGCGGTTTGCAGTATGTGCCTATGTTCTCCTGAGAAGCACGTGCTCCGGCTCCACTCTGCTCACATGATCGTAACGGGTGGAGGGCCGCTCTCTGTCTAGCAGCAGCCACAGAAGATGGGTTGCCCTTCCTTGACCGAGTCTACCGAGAGAGGACGCCTGTGCGGAACTGGAAACGGCTGGTTTCAGAAGCGGCCTGCTCCTTCATTCTTGGGACCCCTACCTGAGTGATTGTGGGTTCCAGTAAAAAGCGAGTCGTTTCCACCAGCTGGGGACTGCAAAGCCCGCGCTAGGAAAGCGGGCGATTCTTGATGAGCAAGGCAGCTTTGCACGTCGAATGAAGCCGGGACGTCTCATTGAGACCTCCTCGCGTGGGCCAGTGCAGCCCACGGCTCAGGGCCCCCTCACTACCGAGCACGCGGGCTGAGTGGCGCGCTGGACCCCGAGGTGCCAGCCCCCTCGGGCAGGGCAAGCAGCAGGGAGCTGCCTGGAGCACGGCTCGCTCCGCCCACCCAAGGCCGGGGGAGGCCAGCGCTCCCCGCAGAAGGCGCCTGCCGGGGCCCCCAGTGTGGCCACTGCTCCTCTGGGACGGTGGGGGCGCCTGCCTCGGTGATGCTCCGCTCAGCCCTCCCTTTTAACATACTCGGCAATAACTTATTACATAAACAGATTATTATTATTATTATTATTAACAAAACCTTTGGTTAGATAATACCACGTGTTGTTTTCTTCAAGTTTTAATCAAAGGCGGGTGCCTGCACTCTGGCCAATTCACGGACAGCTTCACCGGCACGGCTGCGGTGCAGGACGCGCGGCCACCGCTGCGATGCGGCCCCCAGCCCAGCGGGCTCGGCGGCAGCTCTGGAGGAAAGTGCTCTCCGGCCCCTCTGTCCGCGGCAGCAGCCTTGGGGTGCCTGCAGTGCGGAAACCCTGCATGAGGTGGGGCTGCTCTCTGGGCCCACCCAGGCACCGGGGCGGCACCGCAGGCCCTCGCGCCCGCCCAGCAGGCGCTCCAGCTCCGCTCGGAGGTGAAATGAAGAAGCGGTTCGGATTATACTTGGTGAAGCAGGACCAGCCAAAAATAATGACCGCAAGGCGCTGAACCGCAGAAAGGCACCGAAGACGAACATTCAGCAGGGCCTAGGCCAGGCTGGACACGCCGCCCTCTGGTGCAGCCCCTGCTGCTGACACTTGCTGCTGGGGGCGCAAGCGGCTGGCCATCAGAGGTCAGTGGAGGATGGCGGTGGTGGCCCTGGGCGTGGAACGGTGCCCTGGTCACGGCCCTGCCAATCACTTTGCCGCCGCCACTGCCACAATCCGGCAGCGCACCGGGGGGGGGGGTCCTGCAGGGCTGGAATGGGTCTCCCGAGTCCCCACATAAAGGAAGCGCTGCGTGGCAAGTTCAAGCTCTTCCAAGAGAAGGCTGAGGTGCACATCTCGGAGTTGGGCGTCTGCCACATTTTCCATTCCAGTGGCCCGGGAGGAGCACCTTCTTGGGAAGGAGAGGCTCTGCTCCGAAGGTGCGCCAGAGTGGTGCCATGTTTCCAGGGAAAATTCCCACGGTGGTCCCACCTTGCACAATAGCAGCAGCATCCGCTCTGGGCCCCTGGAGCACTCTTGGCAACGGGCCTTGCTCAGGGGCCATTTGCAGCCAGAAGACAATGGGGAGCCGGCCTGCCTGCGAACGCCCACAAGACGGCTGCCCCGTTGCTTGGGAGGTAGTTGAGATGCAGTTCCAGGGCTGATGGACTGAGCCAGCGCTTGCTTGGGAGGCAGCACCATGGTGGTTCTGAGGGCAGCGTGCTGGTCCGGCGCTGGCGAAACCTGCTCCACGCTGGTGGTGGCTCTTCCTGAAGAAACCGGCTTTGGCAGAGGGAGGCTCCTCCCTGGCAGAAGAGCCATTCCGCCCCCTCCTGGGGGTCAGGATTGTCCTGTCTGAGGCTCCATCCCACTGGAGACGCCATGGCATCGTTTCCCTGTGCAAGTTCTCTTCCCTTCTCCAGCAGACAGTAGCATATTGCACTTGTAGCAACTGAGGGTTCGCTCTCAGATTTGCATCCTTTCACGGATAAAAACACCAGTATTGAAAAAGTAAACTTCTTAAGTTATGATTGTAAAACTGTAAACAATCCTTTTCCTTTGGAAAGTCACATGGGGGGTCGTTGCCCTGTAAACATCAGCACCTGCAGCCCCTGGGAGACCCAGAGCGGCTGAGCAGGTTTCTTTAGAAGCTAAGCAGCAGCCCCCCAGAAAGGTCGCAGTCCCCGGAGCCTCGTGCAGCCTGGCTGGGAAAGAGCAGGGCCTCCGCCTGGGGGGCCTCGCACCCCGCCAGGCCGGGGCAGGCCATGCCGGGCCGCCCCTCGCTCGGCAAGGTGTGTGGGATGCTCTCAAACTCCGACGTATCAATGTCTGCGAACAGATCGTCCGGAGGCAGGTTGCTGAGGTAGCTGGAGGCGAAGCCCTCGAAGCTCCCAGCCACGGCACCACAGAGGAGCTCCCCTGGGAAGGAGGCATCCCAGGCGTGGCTGTCCTCAAAGGGCAAGCCCAGTGCACCACTGGCACTGCCCCGGGGGACCGCTGCGCTCGGGTGGGAGGCAGTGCCGGAGTCCTGCTGAAAGACCTCCCCGCAGAAGCTCTCATTTGCCGTGGGGAAGAATGGATCCAGAAGCAGATCGGCAAAGCCTCCGTCAGCAGCCTCCAGACAGGGGATGAGGACCACCGACGGTGCTCCAGGGCCGTTGTCCATGCCACTCCTTTTCAGGTGGTCCACCGCACACTGCAGCTTTTCCTCTGGGTCCCCCAGAGACGCCGCGCTCGCCGAGATGCTGCAGCCCGGCAGGGGACCCTCGCCAGTGTCGTGGGGAGGCGGACCCCTCTCAAGGAGCCACTGGGGGACCTCTTCGGGGGGGGCCTGGTTTAGAGGGGGGGCATCGTTCTCCTGGAGGCGCTTGATGGTGTTCTTGAGTAGCACAAACTTGTGGATCTCCTCGGCACACAGCGCGGGCGACACGAGGTACCTCCTGAGCGACGCGAGCAGGAGCGAGCGGCACGAGCACTCCTTGCCAGGGCTCCCTGCAGAGTCCTGGTCCCGCTCAAAGGTCTTGCGCTTCACCCCAATAGCCCTGCAGCAGCAAAGGACGGAGGAGACCGGTGACGCCCACTTCCCGACAGGTGTGCCTGTGCCACCGGGGGACAGGCTGGCCAAGACCTCCCAGGGGGTCCCGCGGCTGAGTGCCCGCCTGAGCCAGGTCCCCCCACTCCTGCTCTGACACTCAAACCACTGCACTTCACGGCCTTACTAGAAAAGACGATTACCAAGGTGGGTAGGGGAAAATGCACATTCTGGGGAAGACAGACATCCAGCACACCAAGGAAACATCCTGGCTGGCTTTTTTTCACCAGCTGAGATGGTTTTCCGCTTGCCGGAGGCTGGCGGCACAGGGGTGCAAATGTTCAAGGCCTGCCCCCCACCCCACCCCGCTGAAATGCATCAGTTCACCTCCCCACTTCATCCTGCTCTGTGAGCAGACCTGGCACAGGACAGGTGGCCATGGACACGCCAGGCAGAATTTCAGGGCCGGGAAAGGAAGGGCCTGCCGTGCGGAGGAAGCAGCCTCGGTCTTCAGCTCCTCTGAAGGAACTCCTCCCCCCACCCCCGGACACTCGCAGGTTCTGCAGGCAGGTGGCCCTGGGCTCTGCTCGCTGGGGTGCGGAGGACGTGCTGGAGGGCTGCAGCCTCCCCCAGTCAGCAATGCTGGACATGCCACAGGCAGGTGGGGGCAACTCCAGGGGGGGCACAGGACTCCATCAACTTATGGCCCTCCATGGGTGTTGGCCTACCAGCCCTGAGTCTGCATAGCCCACACCGAGGGATCATGGGGGTTGCAGGGCAAAACCTCTGGAGGGTCGCAATTTGTCCACCCCGAATTAGCCAGAGATCCGAGGAGCAGCGTTCTGCAGCACGGCTTCCACGGAGAAACGAGGGCAAGCTGCTTGGCCACGTCTGCACGGGGCCACCCAGCCTCAGACCACAGTGGCCGGGCACAGAGAGTGTGGCTCAGAAGTGACAGTGGGGCACTGCGATGCGGCGCTCGCCCTGGACGGCAGCTGATACATCTACAAACGCTTAAACAACTGTAAAATAAGAAGCCTGGGTGGATTAACTCCTGCTCCCCCCAGGCAGGCACGCACGCACTTCAGCTGCACTGGAAAACACGAGGGCTAGACTGCTCGTGAGGATGCTCGAGCAGGCTAGGACAGAGCCAGGCCTGAGGCAACGCTGCCCGCTCCTCCGAGACCAGCCAGCCCCGCGGCGGCACCTCCTGGCCAGCGACCCCACCCCTGCTCTCCGCAGCTTCTGGCCATGACTCACCCCCAGGCGACTCGCCTGCAAAAGAAGATCCCTCCCCCCTCCCGCTCCCCCCTCCAGGCAGGGAAGCGCGATCAAACTTGGGCAGCTCCACGGCCCAGGCGGGCGATCCTGCCCCGAGTTCTCGGGGCGCGGCTCCAACAGCGCTCCCGTGGCCCTGCCGGAGTGATGGGGCGGGGGCGGCAGGGGTCGTTCGGGAGACCTTAGCCCGAGGTGACCCCACCGCGGATCGCTGGCGCCACCGAGTCAGCGGTAAGTGAACCTCGCCGCGGGAACGGGGGGCTGCGCGAACAACCCCGAAGACCTGCGGGCGAGACTTCGCGGCCGTGAGGAGCAGCTCCAGGAAATCCGAGAGGAGTCCCTGCCCCGAGGGTGCCTCACTCCGGAATGCGCGAGCCAAGCCCTCCACGCCAGGCAGCGCCCCCCGCCCGCGCCAGGGGACTTACTCCCGAGGAGACTCGCCCCGCAGCACCGGGCGAGCGGGACTCACCTGAGCGGCCGCGGGGACTCCATCAGGCGGCCTCCGCCGGGCTGCGAGGCGAGCCCAGACCGCGCTGCCTGCGGCGCCCGCGAAGTCGCCTCTCTTCTGGCCGCCGAGCCGGACGCCTCCACAGCAGGAGCGGACGCTTGACGCTCATTGGCGGGCTCGGGGGAAGGGCCGTTCCCATTGGCGGAGCCTTCACCTGGCAAGCTCTCAGGTGCGGCGGCGAGGGGCGGGCGCTGGGGCCGCGCGGCGCGCCCTGGCCTCCAGGGGGCGCAGCGGCCTCTTCGCGCGGGGCTCCGGGCTCCCCGCGCCGACCGCGGCCCTCCTGGCTGGCCGCCGC